AAATGGGAAATACCCTTGAACACATAGGCACAGAGACAACTTCCTAAATAGAACACCAGTAGCACAGACACTGAGAGCTTTAATTAATAAATGGGACCTCCTGAAATTGAGAAGCTTCAGTAAAGCAAAGAACATGGTCAACAAGACAAAACAGCTCCCTACAAAATGGGAAAACATCTCCACCAAGCTCACATATGGCAAAGGGCTGACTACAAAATATACAAAAACTCAAGAAACTAGAAATCAAACTACCAAATAATCCAATTTTAAAATGGGGTACAGATGTAAACAGAGAGTTCTCAACAGAACAATCTTAAATAGCAGAGAAACAGCTATGGAAGGAAATGCTCAACAGCCTTAGTCATCAGGAAATGCAAATCAAAACCACTCTGAGGTTCTATCTTACACACCAATCAGAATGGCTACGATCAAAAACACCAATGACAGCTTATGCTAGAGAGGATGTGGACAAAGGGGGAAGGATTTCTGGTGGGAGTGCAAATTTATACAGCCACTGTGAAAATCAGTATGGCAATTTCTCAGAAAATTTGGGATCAAGCTACCTCAAGACCCTGTAATACCACTGTTAGGTATATACCCAAAGGAGGCACAGAGACACCACAGGGACATGTGTTCAACTATGTTCATAGCAACATTACTTGTAATAGCCAGATCTTGGAGAAACCCAGATGCCCCTCAACTGAGGAGTGGATAAACAAATGTGCTATATTTACACAATGGAGTACTATTCAGCGGTAAGAAACAATGACATCCTAAAAGTCCCAGGCTAATGGGCAGAACTAGAAAAAAAAGTCATCCTAAGTGAGGTACCCTAAAACCAGAAAGACAAACATAGTATGTAATCACTCATAAGTGGATTCAAGACATAAAGCAAAACATACTCAGCCTACAATCCATAATCCCAGAGAAGCTTGAACCCTCTTCCAGAAATATATGGAAGCAGATGCAGAAATCTACAACTAACCATTGCATCAAGCTCCTGGAGTACAATCAAAATGAGGGAAGAGTTATAATATGAACAAAGGAGTCACGACCATCATGGGGAAACCCACAGAATCAGCTGACCTGAGCTAGTTGAGAGATCACTGACTCAGGTCTGACAAATGGGGAACCTGCACAAGACAAAACTAGACTCCCTTGATATAGGTGACAATGGTGTGACTGGGACAATATATGAGGACACTGGCAGGGGTCCAAGATCTAACACTAATGCACAAACTGGCTATATGGGGAGATACCTTGTCTAGCCTAGACACAGGGTGCAGGGGTGGGGGATGGGGATGGAGAGGTGCCTTGGTCCTGCCTCAACTAGGTGATGGGACAGACTTAGTAGACTTCCTAGGGGAGGTCTTAGCCTCCCTGAGGAGCAGATGTGAGGGGGGAGTAAGGGGAGCAGGGGGATAGGGGAGAGGGGGAACTGGGGTTGTAATGTAAAAAATAATTATAAAAAATGTTTTTTTTTTTTAAAAAAGAAAGCTAGGCTTTCCTATTCCATTGCTTTGCATATTTTTTTTCTGCCTAAAAAGCCAACATTATTTCATGACTCCTTGGACTATTGCAAGGTTCACAAAGAAAGGAAACTTGTGTTTTCAATGGCCTTGTCTCCATATTCAGTGTATGGCACATTGTAACCTTCATAGGTATTTTCTCTGGATTCTCTCAAATTGTAAAAAAGAAGAAAGCACATGTTCAGGAAAGCTTCCTGGAGTCCTGGAAAAGCCCATACTTCCTTGGGCCCTCATACTGTCATGGCTGCATTGCTATACAAGGGTTTATTTGCCTCTCATTTCTTCTGTGTGCTAGACCAAGCTCTTGGGTGGAGAAGATCAAATCTTACTCATTCTTGGATCTTCCACACACAGGCTAGCTTGTTGTAAGACAGTGATTCTCAACCTTCCTAATGCTGTGGCCCTTTAACACTGTTTCTTATGTTGTGGTGACCTCCAACCATAAACTTATTTTTGTTGCTACTTCATAACAGTAATCTTGCTACTGGAATGAGTCCTAACATAAATATCTGATATGCAGAATATCTGATATATGATCCCTGAGAAAGTATCATTTGACCAATAGGTTGAGAACCACTGTTACAAACCATAGATTTCCCAGGACTGCAATTGCATTTGTAGGGATCACATGAGGGGTGAACAAGGCTGTTATTCAACTGGTGGAAAGTAGAGACCCAGAGAGAAAAAAAAAAAAAAATCCTGACCCAATTACCTTCTCTTGAGGAAGTTTGGTGGTGGTCACCCAATAGACACCACAGGGACCCTTTCTCCATGGATCCGCAGTGGTGACTGACTAAGAGCTGTTCTTGAACTTGGCCAAGACTACAGGGCGCTGAACACCAGTCTGCAGCCACAGTGACATCTTCCCACAGTTCTCCCTTTAAGGGACAGATTAAGGATCAGGGACCTAGTCCAAGGCCGATGAATAGGGAGAAGGATGTGAGAAGTGTCAAGAGACATGGACCATTTTAGTTTCTTGCAAAATCTGTCCTCCAGGGTGGCCAGCTGGACAAGCAAGGCCCTATCAGCCTTCCCAACCAACCCCCCAGGGAACTCCTGATCATTGTCCCAATTAAATATAAATAGTGCTCTATTTTGTTTAGAAGTGGTACTGCGGTAGGTTGTTGTCAGCTGCCTTCCTTTGTAGAAAGGGGTGCCTTATGCAGGTATAAACTCAGAGAACTCCCAGTAGCCTTGCTTCTTCTCTTTCTCTTTCTGTTTCCCCCTACTACATTGCTTCTCTTAGTAGGATGCATTAGGTAAGATCAAGAAGCTTAAGTCTGTGGCCCTGGCCTGAACTTTCCCTAGGTCTGTTTCAGGGACCTTCCCAGGAAGTTAAGAATAAGCTGGGGGAGAAAGTGCAGCCTCCATTTGACCCCGGCATTGAATGTTCCCGAGAAGCCCAGCTCTGTGGGTGCAAAGGCAAACCTCCATGAGCCTCCAAAGAGACCTTGCCCTGAAGTCAATGCTGAAAGTACCCGGAATCCTATAACTGAGGAGTGGGGGGAGGGGAGAAGGTGATGGCAACACCAACTAAAAACCCGTGATAGACTTCTGTGAAATGAGAAGTGCTGGAGAAAAAGAATGGAACTTAATTCTAGAGACCGTGGGCAGCAGGACTGCTGCAAGAATCCTTCTTCAGAAACCCAGCAGCTCCGGTCAGCATCACATTAGAGGGGGCCCGATGCTCCGAGGACGCGTGGCTTTCTGCAGAAAACCACATCGAAGAGGATCTAAGTCCTAAAGTTAACCCGAGCCCGCCGTGGTGGCAGTCCAGCATCCCTAGCTCAGCAGCGCGCGCAGGAGGCCAGGAGTGCCCAGAGCCCCTGACCGCGCGCGGAAGGATATAAAGCACTGTTTACCTCGCGCCTGGCCAAGCCTTCCAGGGGCGAGGCCGGCGCCCCGGGCTGGGGCGCTGCAGGGGTGGCGGCAGCTGCCCTGGCCGCCGGCGGGCGCTGGGGAGCCGAGCGCTCACTGGTAGCGGCGCCGATGATTGATGGGCTCCCGGCTCAATGACAGGGGCCGGGGCGCGGGTGGGGCGGGGCCGGCGACGAGGGCGGGGGCTCAGAGGAAATGTGTCGGTGACATTGAATGGGGAGACCGAGCGCGAGCGAGCGGGGCGCGCGCGCACACATACGCGCACACACAGCCGGGCTCGCTCCGAGATCCCCGGCCACGTAAGTAACTATTAATACCGCCTCGCCCGGGGATGCGGGCGTGCTGAGCGCCGGGATTGGCCTAGGGCGCCGTGGCCATCCCCTTTAATTTTTAAATACACGGCCCTCTCCTACTTCTGGGTGGCAAGAAAAATAATAACAATAATAAAGGAAGAAACGCCGCCGATTTAATTTTTTTCCTCCAACAAACCGCGCCGTGCAATTTGGTCGCAAGGTATCGGAAGACAAGAGTGGTTTGCAAAATTTTCCAAGGCTCAAGACCCAGTTGTACAGTGGGAAAGGAACGCCGCAGGTTGGCAGCTTCCGGGGAGCATCTGCTGCCGGCTCCTGCAGGACCCCCGGAAGCCCTTGACGGGGATTCAGAGACCGCTGGTCCGCCCAGGTCACCGCCCGCACTTCTCGATTAATTTGGAGGAGGATCCGGGACGCCTGTGAGCCGCGACAGACAGCAGGAGCCAGTGCTAACCGCGCGGGCTCAGCTTTGAGCTTTGTCGCCGTACCTGTGCCTGCTCCACTCCCGCACTCCTGGCTCAGCTTTTACAATCTTTTGTTGGCACTGCTGACCACTCCAAGTTAAAGGCTCCTTTGCTAATTTGCTTTTTCCCTGTCTACTTTTTTTTTTTTTTTTGAGCTTTGCGATTTTTTTGGAAAAGCCTCAGACGCCATCTACAGTTAAGACTTAGGTAACTGCCCTCTCTAGCACCCCCCCTTCCACGCCCCCCACCCTCTCCACCAAAAAAGGGGGGTGCAGCGCGGATTCTGGCTGCCGCGCGGCGTGAGCCGGTAGACTGGTGCTTATTTCCTTTTTCTTTTTGTTTGGTTTCTAACGCGTGGAGGGCGAGCCGGCGCCGCGCGCTCCCTGAAGACTGCACAAACTCCACGCAGGGCTCCTCCACCCGGTCTGCTGATCCTCAGCTGGGGATCGCTAGGGATCCCGGCGCTGCACCTCTGCACGCCAGAGGCACACTCATTCGTCCAGATCCACGCTGTGAACAGAGACCCACGGACTCCAGAGCGCGGTTCTGCACCGCGCTGGCGGCTTCGGGGTAACAAAAGGACCCGAGTTGTCCGCAGAGCGAGCACTCCCCGGGAGCGGAGCTCGCAGCCGGGGACCTGCCCTGCGGCGCCCATTGGGGGCTAGCTTCTAACTCTTCCTCCACGGAGCCCCAGTCGGGTCCCCTCCCCTTTTGATCCTTTTAAGTCGGTGGCACCGAGGCGTCTGCAGCAGCGGCTCATCCATCTCTCCAGTGGGTTTTTCGGTTTGTTTGTTTTGTCGTGTGCGATCCCCACACTCATGAACATTCACAGGTCTACCCCTATCACAATAGCGAGATATGGGAGATCGCGGAACAAAACCCAGGATTTCGAAGAGCTGTCGTCTATAAGGTCCGCTGAGCCCAGCCAGAGTTTCAGCCCGAACCTTGGCTCTCCGAGCCCGCCCGAGACTCCGAACTTGTCGCATTGCGTTTCTTGCATCGGGAAATACTTACTGTTGGAGCCTCTGGAGGGAGACCACGTTTTCCGCGCTGTGCATCTGCACAGCGGAGAGGAGCTGGTGTGCAAGGTAACCAGCCCGGCATTGCTTTTGCTTAAACAACAACAACAAAATCACCCCGGTTCCTTTGGCAGGGTCCTGGACGGGGAGGAAGGTCACGGAGCCCTGGAGTCCAGGGGCGGGAGGTTCTCGGGATCATTATGGGTGGCCTTGTTAAATAGGTTTATTTGTGTGTCTGTCCACGTTCGACTAGTTGTGAAGTTTTTAGACGGTTTCAGACAATGGGGCGGGCTGTAGCGGGGGCGTTTTGGGGAGAGCCTGGGAGGGAGGGCTGCGAGTCTGAGCCAGGGCACAGGCACCCGTGCTCTAGGAGGCTGGTGGAGCCCTGGTGCTACGGGTCAGGTACCCTTGCCCGCGGATTTCTCTCCAGGTCAAGCCCCATCCCCTCCCTGCAAGGACTAGGGAATCCCCGGTTGGGTTTCAGACATAGTTCACTGGATTCCTTTTGTAGCCATTGTTCTTAGCAGCCTGCAGGTGCTAAACCTTTGTTCCAAAGGTGTCCTTTAAAGGAAACACAAAAAAACTGTCCCCCTCTGGCTGAGCCCAAGGCTCTAAGGAGGAAAAGGAGTTTTAAAGCATTTTCTTCTGCCTGGAGCCTGGAAAGAAGGATTGGGTTGGAAATCAACCCCTTGTGCACTTTTGGGCGAACAAGGAATCCTTTGGGTCTGTCTTTTTGTCTGGGTTTCTTTGCATCTTCAGATTCCTTGTCTGCACACCCCTGTTGCTGCTCCCTCTGCATCCACAACATCTTTACTAGTTTTGATACTGCCCTGTGGAGCCCTCTGTGCCAATACCAATAAGTGCAATTCTATTTCCTTTTTGTCTTTGACCCCCGAGCAGTGACTGTTTTGTGTCTTTGTGTGTCTTTGTGTGCGCTCACCAAATACCAGACAAGGGGATTGAGGGGGAATAGTAACAAAATATTTGTCTACAGTCTATTTCCCACTGCAGTGGGGAGCAGTGTAACCTAAAATTGGATGTAGATCAAGAATACATTACCACTGAAATGTAGGTCTTTTTCGTTTTCGTTATTTATTTTTTGAGGGGTAAGCGGGGTTTTGTGCTGCCTTTGAAATGGGTACTGTGCACATCTGTGCTGCAAATACTGTGTTACACTTTTCTCATTATTCACTGGCTGCTTTGTGACATCGCCCTGTTTCGTGCTGAATTGGAGTGCTTCCTTGCAAAAAGCGGGTGGGTGAATATCTCCAGGCAGTTTTGAGATTATTTCTGAACTTAGAGGAACCAAAGACCCTTTAAACATCACTCTTTTCCTGTACTAAGCATTGGGGATTTTGCATCTTCTCCAAGTTACTGTAATCGAAAGCAACTATGACCAGTTAAAGCATTGAATTCAGTAGGCAACTCAGAGCCTGATGGGAGCCCTGCACACTGCACAATAGGACAGTCATCCTTAGAAATGAATGAATTCCACGGAGCTGTCATTCTCCTGTGAAATATGCACCATCATCGGCAGTAAGCATTCCCCCTCCTTTTGCTCAACTTCAGCACACAGCATTTTACTATTTTTTTCTCCCAAAGACTAGAGATGATTTCAAGTAAAGAGAGTCTGCTGCCAAATTCTGCAGGAGCATCTTGCTATAATTTCTTTGTTTAAAACCAGGCTTGTCTTAGGCCTCTGTTCCTTCTCATTTCAGATCCTTCAAGACATATTTCACTGTAGTCTGACCTTACAGTGTCATCTGCAGACTTGCTCTCTGGCCCCAAACTGTCCTTAATCGGCTGGTTTAGTTATTGCAAAGATTGAATCAGCCCCTCACCAATTACAGTGTGGCTGCAAGTGGATTTAAGTGCAGTATCATTGTTCTGCTTGACAGAGGTCATCCGTTTACAACTCTGCAGCTTCTGTTCTCCTGCCTTCTTACCCAAGGTGATGTGGTTGACTTCTACAAGCATAGCTGTGCACCCAACTCTCCAGGAGAGTTTTATGAGGGTGATGCTATGAAGTGCCCCAATACACACACTGTAGAGCATTTTAGTTTGCTATGACACTGAATCCACCTCTTTTTGATGTCTTAGCATGGGGTTCCTGTTTCTCAGCTATGTGTTCTTGCAAGAAAAAGTGCATAAGCAGATGAAACAAAAAGGCTGTTTACTGGGGAAGATGCTGTAGAGGGTTCTGTAGGACATTCTTTTGTGGGAGGGGGATGCAGGGGAGAGCTTCCAGGGGCATAAGCAGAATTCCCCAGCTTGATTATTGTTTCCACGTGCCTATTTTAGTTAGCCAAAGGAGGGGCAGATCTTTAAGGGTTGTTTAGCTGTTTTCACAAAAAAATTCTTGTAGCTACTGTGCAGAATGACATAATTACTGCCTTGGCAGAATGGGCACTTGCTTTTTTCTTTTCCCAAACATGATGAATGTGGCCTGATCATAGAGCCTTATCTGAACTGTCACATTATATAACCAAGGCTCCCAATTAAACATTTAAAAGGAGCTGGCATCCAGGCTCCTGGCTTTATTTCTGCACTTGAGGGTGATGGCTTAAATACCAGTCCAAGCCTATAAATGCCTGTTATAGCCACTAATAAAAGTTTGGCTCCTTCCCATTTAGGAAAATGTAAGCAATTCTTTCAATTTTTCCTTTCCTGTCCACCATTTTGCAGTTTTGCACCCCCCTACACAGGGTATGGCCACACTGGACAGGTATTATGAATTTCATTTAATTCTCTGCCCATTCATCTTTGCAGCTGAGCAGTAGGACAGTAGGCTAACCATGCCTAGCAAAATGTTTTTTGTTTGTTTGTTTATATAAAGGCAACTGAAAACAGGAAGTGTATTATAAATAATCAGAACTGTAGACTGAGAGGACAGAACCCACAGCCTGGACCCTCAGAGCAAATCATGCAGGTTCGATTGTTACATAAGGCAGCCTGTTGACATTAGCCACTGTGTGTGTGTGTGTGTGTGTGTGTGTGTGTGTGTGTGTGTGTGTGTTCCTCGATGAAATTGCTAAAGCTTCCCTGGTTCTGGCCTGCAGTCTGTGTGCTAAGGTTGACTCAGGCATTTCAGATTCCTAATTAAGGGGGCCTCTGAGTTCACTGCTCTGAGGTCATCCTTTGACAATATCTGGGTGTGATTTGTGGTCTCCCGGGAGGTTGAAGCATTCATTCTTAAATTCAAGGGTGTAGTGGCAACAGCTGTGCCACTTTCCTGAGATACCTCATTATGGCTCATTCACAGCCTTACTGTTGACTTTGCTTCCTCAGCCACAGTTAGCACCAGCCCCCTTGAGGTGCTTATTGTCCCGGTTTGACTCACAGGGTTTTTTTTTTTTTTTTTTTTTAAATGCTCAGTTACTTAACTCCTGGAATTTTACATTGCAGCCTGTGTTCCTACATGGGCTACAGAAGGCCCAGGAATCCCTCACAGGGATTCAAAGACTTGGCCTTGTCAGCAAAGAGGAGTGAGACAGAGCTTCATGAGTGGGAATGGGACCCACAAAAGGTTGTGGTGTCTAGGTCCGGGTGTTTATTTCACAAAGAGGGAGGTTCTTTGTCTGTGTGCTTCAGCCATCCTATGCAGATGAATGGTGGTCCAGCCAGAGTGATAACCATCACCTAGACAGGGGATTTCTCATGCATCTCTCTCACCACCCTCCAAATACTGATGCTGGGGTCTCACCTGGGAGCAACTGACAAGAGCTCAGTATGCCACAGAAGACAAGCTAGATTCTCTGCCAGGCCTGCTTTTGAATGAAACACCCCCTCATCTACCCCTCCCCTCACCCATATCTCTGCCCCCCCCCCAGAACAAAATACACCTCATTCCAATCCTAGGTGCTGGTATAGCTGACTGAGTATAGGCTTTGCAATGAGTGAAAAGCTCCCGTCTCCATCCTCAAAACTGCTCTGACGTGTTCGTTTCTCTCAGGTCTATTCAGAAGGTATTGATGGTGCATTTTTCTTTTTAAGCAACAGTGAGGTGGCATTTCACAGGCTGACTCTGATTCATAGAGAAGTATTGCATAATTGATTCATTGAGTTAGATATCTGTGGAGGGAAGAGGGAAGCCAGCCTGATTGCCTGTGGAGATGGCCCTTGTGCTATTCCTTGTGTTGCCACTGGGGGCAAGAGTTTACTGCTGTTTGCTTTGCCTTGATTAGCACATCTGTGAAATGAATTCACCTCACAGGGAGAAAGAACCATTGAGGAAAGTCTAGATATATAATGAATTAATTGTTTGTTCTTGTACATTTCTGATGCATTTTTAAAAAGTAAATAAATGTTTGTCTTTGTTCAGGAATCAGTTGAGATTTTTTTTCTGTAAGTATTTTCTCATAGTCATTTTTCCTCCTATAAATATGTTAACTATAGGGAAGAAGAAGAAGAATAACATTTTGGGCTTAGCTACTGGCTCAGACAGTATTAGCTGTATAAGCATGAAGATGTCCATTTGATCCCTGCCACTCACATTTAAAAAGCTAAGTGTAGTGTTTGCATGCTCTGATAAAAGAGAGTTTCAGGAGGATTCCAGGACTCTTTAGGTCTAAGGCTAGTGAGAGATGCTGTCTGTAGTTTCCCAAGGAACCATGCCAAACCTGAGATAGACCTCTGGCCTATGCATGTACACACACACACACACACACACACACACACACACACACAGAGAGAGAGAGAGAGAGAGAGAGAGAGAGAATAATAAAACTTAGCATTTACTTCATTTTTTCCTAGGATCCCTTCAATATTGAATCAAGTTTCATTAATCCATTTTGTGCCAAAGATTTGGAGGTTCAGAGTAGTGGAGAGACTTGTTCTGTCGTCTACAGCTGGTAGCAGGCAGAATTGGTGTGCTTGGGGGTCTAAGTTTCATCCCCTTTATGCCATGTCAAAGCACAAGCCTGCATTTGGCATTCTGTGGTTTGGGTCACAGGAGGCACCACGCTGACTGAGGTCTTGTCAATTCTGTCCTAGGTGTTTGAGATCAGCTGCTACCAGGAGTCCCTGGCCCCCTGCTTCTGCCTGTCTGCCCACAGCAACATCAACCAAATCACAGAAATCCTCCTGGGGGAGACCAAAGCCTATGTGTTCTTTGAGCGGAGCTATGGAGACATGCATTCCTTTGTCCGCACTTGCAAGAAGCTGAGGGAGGAGGAGGCAGCCCGACTGTTCTACCAGATTGCCTCAGCCGTGGCCCACTGCCACGATGGAGGGCTGGTGCTGCGTGACCTCAAGCTGCGGAAATTTATCTTCAAGGATGAAGAGAGGTGAGTGTGGCCTAGCCCATGCAGATGTGTGTGTGTGTGGCTCAACCCATGCAGGTGTGTGTGTGTGTGTGCGTGCACGCTTTGATAGAGTGTCTACACCTCCATCTGCACGGAGCTTGTTCTGCTGCCTGTTGTCCAAGTGAGGGTTAGGGCAGGGAGAACAAAGAGAGAATACTGGTGTCCCAATGCCCTCAGTAAACAAGGAGTGGTTACTCCCATCCTGCAGTGTTCAAAGGCCAGGGGCTGGGGTTTATCTATGACTTGCTAAATGTGTATGGTTTGTGTGATGACTTTTGATGGAGGCTGCAAGCCAGCGTGGCAATTTTAAACTCAACAGAGACAGTTTTATGAAGGCACCGTGCCATAAGAACACTCACTACTTAGAGGACATTGTTTATAGTCCCTTCTCTCCTTCAATTGCTGTTTACTATGAATGTAGTTGGTGTGACCCACAGGCTTGGTAGTGAATTTCAGAAGTAGATAAGACACCAGACCTGTAAAATAGCTAGAGGTGAGTCCCCGGTCCTCTGTGATGTGGGGTAGGGATTGTCAGTTCTAACTAGATCTTGAAGAACCAAGGAAAGCGCTAAGGGGAGAAGAGCTATCATAGGCAGTATGGGAAGGACTGGCACACCAGGTGATGAACTGGTGGTGTGAGCTTGTGCACCAAGGAGGCCTGACTATGTCAAGAAGCATTTGTTTAAGACATGGGCATCTGGACTTCATGGATATACCATCAACTCATCAGGTTCCACTTAGCCAACCAGGCCAGAGCCCAGCTTTCTCTTCGCTTATAAAACTTCCTTTTAAGAGTGTACTTTCTTATAGGGAAGTAGGCAATGAATTTAGAGCCATCATCACTCACTTGTTCTTTGTGCCCCAGGAATTGTTTGCACACACCTGAGTCCATGGTGTCTCAAGTCTTGAGCTTGGTCGCTGTGGACTGGAGAAGAGGGCAGGGAATCTTGGTGTTCTTTGCTACACACATCTGATGGCGGTCTGGTCCACTTCCTTCATCCCTTGCCCTGCTGACATTTCTTTGGTACTCTCTGTAAATCACACAGACCTTGGGAGCAGACCTTTCTGCCTTCTATTTTCTTTGACATCCAGTTCAGTGGGCTGTGATATTTTCACACCATTGTTTACAGAAATCCATTGTCCCTTTTTCCAAGAGCCAGATCTAGTGATTTGTGCTGTCTCTTTTCTCTCTCTCTTCCTCCCCTCCTCCCTTCCTTCCCCCCACCTCTCTCCCTCTCTCTTTCTTTCTGTTTGTTAGTTTATTTTCTCCTCCATGGTTTGAACTACTTGGGGACTTAATGTCTGGCAAGCACTTGGGGCTTAGCAAAGGAAAAGGGCCTGTTGTTACTTAACCCAAACGGAATAATTTCATGGGTGTTTATAATCCAGCTGTGCATACAACTTGCAGAAAGCTTCTGGGCTTCTTGTGCCTATGAAGGTTGGTTCTCTTTTGCATATTTTTACACATGGGCTTGGGTGGGCACTAGCAACTCTGGCAGCTAATGTCCTACCTAGTCTTTTATTAAACTGGCTTCATTCTTTTCTTTTCTTTCTTTTAATGAAGTGACGAAGCAGGTTCCCCTAAGATTGGAATGTGGGCAATTCTTGCCTTTTCCTTTTTCAGCTCAGATACTCCAACAGAGGGGACTGGTCCTTATGCTTCTGTCTTTAATAACCTCTATGGCCTTGGGGTACACCCTCAGCCTCATGTTTCTCCTCCTTAATGTTGTCATGGCTTTACCATGGTGACTCTTCATTCTTCTTCAGTTTTCATATACATATTTCTGCTTCTTTGAGTGTTTTCATCTGGAAGATGAATATGGATTGGCCAAAGATATTCTCGTTGCCGTCTGTTCACCTACTGACCTCTTGCTATACAGTTGTACCTCAGCTTACTTAATTGTTTGTAAAGATGGAGAGGGGTGTGTGTGTGTGTGTGTGTGTATGTGTGTGTTAGTGTGTGTGTTGCTGCACAGCATACTCTCTTTGTACATTGTGGCAAGCATCTCACCACTGAGCTACATCCCAGCCCATGTGCATTCGTGTAGCCAATGTCTGCCAAAGCAGGACTGTTGAGGTCTCAGAGTTAGCACCAAGAAGGAGCACAAAGAAGGTGAATGAGATTCTCCAGGAAGCCAACTCGGCTGTCAAGAACTCCATTCATCTGCCAGAGCACACAAGCCCTCAAATGCCCTAGGTCATCTCCTATGGGCTCTGCATGATCAAACATTCCTTTAGAAACCTAGTCAGGCATCAGTGAGTGTCAGGGTGCCACATCCTGAGATCACACCCACAGCAGATAAAGGTTTGTTAAGTGAGTCAAAGAAGTATAGCTATCCTCATGTTGCAGAACACCAGAGCATGACCCAGAGGCACCCTTTGTCTGGTTTCTAACCCTTTCTCCCATGGCCCTATGGAAACAGCCCTGAAAGAACTGGGAAGGACTGCTTTGGCAGCTTCTCATTTACTTATTCAAACAGCAATCGTGCCTCTCTCTCATCCATTTTTCCCTTTGAGGCAGTTTTGCAATATAGCCACATTACTTTGGAATTCAGTATCCTACTGCTTCAGCCACCCAAGTATGTAGGCATGTGCACCACACCTTCTCATTTTTGTCCCCAAGAGCAGTAGAAGGTAAAGCATCCTGTGGTAGAACTAAGTCCCACTCATTTAAGAACAAGAGCTGACTTCTTTGTAGGCTTTAGACTGAAAACTACCTTTGACTGAACCCAGAGCCATCTATGAAGGTTCTTTAGTGGAAGTGTTGGTGCTTTACAAACATCATGTCATGTGGATGACACCCAAGGCCATGTGCAGACTAAGGGCTGGTGTATCTGCTACTGCTATGCTGGCTCATCAACAGTCTGGCTTCATCTGATTCTCTTTGGTTTTGATTTGAGATCTAGATTCAGGTCCTGGTCTTTAATTTCTCTTAATGTTTATAAACTGCAGCCTCCTCAAGAAGACTGACATAATCCTAGCTTCCCTGGAAGGTGATTAGCATCCAGGGAAATGATGCTTTGGTTCGAGGGCAGAGCAGGCACTCTATATGTGACAGCTGTACTTAAAAGTCATTGAAAAACAAGTGTCATTGTGCATGAACAGTCCAGAAGACTTGATGAGTTCTCAAATGGTGAAGGGAAGGATGAGGTCACTCTCTTTGGCAGCCTTGTCTGTAGATAATTGTTCCTTCCTGTGTAAGGTTGATTGCACTCAGACTAGGGAAGGGGTGTGTTTCTGCAGTGCAGAGCCCTGCAGTGTTCACTCCAAAGGGCCACCATCATGGAGCCTCATTTTCGAGAAATGAATCCCCAGCCTTTATTGAACTTGCCTAGGGTGCCCCTCAGTCTTGCAAAACCCTTCAATGCCTCCCCCAATCTGATAGAAGGGAGAAAATTTACCCACATTGCCACAGGGGATCCCCAGTACCTCTTGGCCTTCCTTTTCCTGTGTTATAATGAGTTACTTGCTTACTTGACATATTGCTGGAGACCCCATGTGTTTGGAATGGACCTGAGCTTTGGAGAATTGAAGCCAGAATGACTGGCCGGGTTCCAACCCTGGTTTAGACACTTACTAAGAAATCTAGCCTTGACAGAACACCGAACCTGTATGCCCAGACTGCCTTGACTAGAAAATAGAGCTGGGAAGACCTTCCTGGTAGAAGGAAAGGGATTAACATTGACCTTGGCTTCTTCCATCTGCTTTCCCCTGCCCATTTATATCTTGGCATCTTTAGGCTGCTAAGGAAAGTGGTGGGACACTGTTCTGTCAGTGACCTTCCTTCTGTTTTGTCCAGCTAGCTTCTCCTGGGGCAAGGCTTCTCACCACCCTCAGACCCCACCCCCTAACCTCAGATCAGTGTTTACATCTACTAGCACAGAAATGTCCCATGTGAACTCAGAAACTTGCTTTCTTACATGCTCCTGCTCTGGTCCAGAGATCTTTATCTCTTAAGGTAGTTGCTTTCATTTCTTCTGCTCTGTGGAAGCCAGTCTGTATAGTGCTTGCCTCTGCAGGCTGAGCTCTGAGTCCTGGAGGCACTCAGTGGCCACTGGGCTGGGGAGGGCTGGGCATGAGTGTGGGCTTTGGGTATGGGAACTGCAGCTTGTACCTCCTTGTTGGGGAGCACTTTCCTCCCTCCCTACCAGCAGAGGTTGAGGCCATCTTTCGGAGGTGTTGCTGTCTGTGTTGGCTCTTCCTTTAGATTTTTAAGTTGCTTCCACCTTCACTGAGGTTTCTATACCTAATAGAAGATTCAGGGCATGCAGCGGTGGTGCTCCAGAGGCCAGGCTCAGCTTTTCTTTCACTAATAGCTATATATAATTTTGCAAGTTGTAGGTACTCTATTTTAGGGAAGTTCTCTCTCCATCCAACCCCCCTCTCTTCTTCCCCCCCCCCCCACCAGTTTTGGTGAAACAAAGCTTCCAGGAAATGCTCATATCCAGGTAGATCCGTGTCCCTGTGCCCTATCAATCTTTGGGCAAAGTTCTCTTCCCATTGTACCCCTAACAAGCTCCCTAGGATGGGTAGGGTCCTTTTCCCATACATCCCTTTGCCTATGTGGCAGCGAATCTCTTTTATTCTTGTGCATGGGAGTAAGTGAATGTATGCAAGTGCCTTTGGAGGCCAAAGGTCAACTTTGGATGCTGTTTTTCAGAAGCCAGAAGCCAAGAGCTGTCCACCTTGTCTTTGAGAGAAGGTCTCTCACTGGGACTTGAGGTTCACCAAGTAAGCTAGGTTGGCTTGGCAGTTAGCCTAGGGGATCTGTTTGTCCTTACTTTCCCAGCATTGGAATTATAAGCACCCCCACCCCCAGGTTTTTACATGGATTTAGAACTCAGATTCAAGCTTGCTCAGCAAACACTTTATGGACTGACTATCTCCTCAGCCCTTCCTACTCTATTCTCATGACCTGACCTAAATAACCCTTACTAAGCTGCCCTCTATTGCCTGTCCATGCACAGGCTGGACTGGTGAGC